TATACAGTAGTTTATTTGTTGTGAAAGTTTTGCCAAAAAGAAAAAGATGAAAGAAGATAATGTGTTCAGTTGGCAGGTTATTATTCTGACCAAATAGAAAAGGTTAACAGGTGATTATAACACAGTTTACATGTCATAAAGTGTTGTTATTAACCCAGTATGATTACCAAGCCACATAACTGATATCCTTGGTAGTGAACAACGGAGCAAGTACTGTTGTGTTAGGCTACCACAAAAATAATTATTAAAATTCAGTTCCCAATGACTGTTTGGTCTAGTGGCATCAATGTTTTCAAAGGCGTGGGCACACCTCATAGCAAGGTGCAATGGAAACAACCCAGAAGCTCAGTTGTTTCACAAAAGTACTGAAAGGCATAAGCCTTTTGGGCTTTATAAATGAAAAATATATATATTACCCATGCCAGAACGATGCCGTTTGGAAGGGGTAACTTAAAAAATAAAAAACAATGTGGAAAGAAGAAGCATTCTGCCTCCTGATAGTGGACAATTACCATCCCACGTTGATTCCTTAGATAAAGATGATAGTGATATTAGCTTGAATGAAGTCTTATTGATGAGGATTTGGATAGATAAGCGTATTTTCTCTTTTGGAGCTGCTTTTTATGTTTTTGTTAATGATCTTATTGGATGAGCATTATCATTGTTGGGATTCTTATTTAAGTTGGATGATCATAAATATCATATGTTTTATGAATTACTATTAATATGTATTTTTTTTTCTTCATATATATTATTTGTGTAGAAGTTTTAAAAAAATAATAATAATTTGAAAGTCTTATGCCGCATGGCTTACATCTTGTCTTGCAAGACCCAAAATGCCTCGCATTAGGTGCATTTGCCTCTGAACACATTGAGTGGCACTAATCTCCACTTTGCTGGAGGTTCTGAGTTCAAACCTCACAGACTGCATTTGTTGAGCAGAAAATGTTTGGAGTTCACATGGCTATGCCTTAGTCTGTAATTGCATCCTCGTTGGACTGGGTGGCTGGGGGAATACAGAAGTAGGAGGTTTAAAAGGTTATGCCTCTTTTGTTATGTAGATTGTTTGGAAGAGGGCAGGAAAAGAGATGAACGTTTTACGGTGTAAAAACAAACATTGAATCAATGAACTGTTGCTGTCAAGGTCTCTTTTTGAATGGATGGGCGGGTTGCATTTCCTTTTCTACTTTGTCAAATTTCCTTTAGAAGGTTAGTTAGGGCTTGTTGTTTCTCTTTTCAATTTTTCCTTTTTTGGGTACTTTGGACACTTACTGCATACCATAGTATCCTTTTCTTGACGTAAATTTTACTTACCAAAAAATAATAGTTTCTAGCAATTCATTTATGTTGAGTTTTCTTCACAGGTATTGAATGATATGTAAAATTTCTTCTCTGTCTCATCTTCATAATTGAAATTGATGCAGGTTGGAGCAACACCAGACTTAATGTTGGCATATATTGATTTTTTCCTTGGTGGTGATGAGAAGCGTCTAGATATGGTATCAATCATACAGAAGAGGTTCCCCATGTGCATAATTTTTGGTGGTGATGGCAGCTATATGTCACCTTATAATCTTCACAATGATACGTTGTTGACCAACCTCCTTGGCCAGGTCTGTAGTTTCACGTGATAAGTAACCTACTGATTATTGTTTTGTTATACATATCCGATGTAAATCATGTCATTCTATTCTCAGCATGTCCCAGAAACTGTTTGGAATCATTTGGTTGCTGGTTTGAATGCTCAGTTGAGGATGGTGAGGCATGGATCTATCCGTTCTCACCTAATTCCTGTGATTAATTGGATGAATAGCCATGCAAACCCTCAACTTGTGTTTCATGGAGTAAGAGTTGAGCTTGGGTGGTTTCAAGCAACAGCCTCTGGTTATTATCAGCTGGGAATATTGGTAGTGGTTGGGGATTATCCACTTCAAAGTCTGCATCAGTCTGATATGGGGGATAACGAGCTACCAAGGTAACTTTGATTATTTGCACTTACATTTCTTTTTTAAGAGCATGCGCTGATTGCTCATATACACCCTGGACCTCCAATTTTTGCATGCTTCAAAACAAGTGTGATGGGCTTATCCATTTTTCCATTTTAACACACTGTTTCTACAACCAATTAAGAATGTTAGTGTTCATTAAGAATGTTTTCATTCTTGTAAGACTTGCATGGCATGGATAAAAACAGAGAAGTTTTTTATTTTTTCCTTTTCTGTTCCCTTCTTATTTCGTTATTGTTGGTAGGCATAAACGTCTGACTGCACTGATATCCTTTTGGGGCTAGAAAATATAGCAGCTTGAACCCTTAGAATGCACAAGTGACTGATTCCTGAACCCTGCATGTATTGTTTAGCGTAATGATTATTGACTAAATTGTTAATTCTTTATCTAAAATCAGGTCCAATGCTGCATGCACAAGAAAATGTTCAAAGCAGATGCAACAAAGTTGGCCATTTGTAGGTCATGCATTATCTGTTAAAAGGATAACTGGAGGGATTAATGGAGGTCTTATAAATCTTACTACCTTGAGATCTTTGGATTATAAAAGGGATTTCCTCTTTCCACTCTCTCTCTTACTGCACAATACAAGACCTGTTGGTCGTCAGGTACTTCAATTAGATTTTTTATTGTATTTAAAATAGGCACAATTCCGATGTCATTCAAGATATAATATAAATGCATGTTTCAGGACACCCTGCTGCTGCTGATAAGTTTCATGCTGTTAGCAGATCTTTCTGTCACCATTCTTATGTTACTTGAATTCTATTGGATATCTCTTGGGGCTTTCCTTGCTGTCTTGCTTATACTTCCTTTATCCCTTCTCTCTCCCTTCCTTGCTGGATTGAATGCCTTATTCAGTAAGGAACTTAGAAGAGCTTCACTTGCTCGTGTATATGCATTGTGGAATGCTACATCGCTTTCTAATATTGTAAGTAATACAGCGCTTGAAATATGGTTTAGCATAATTGCTTTTTGAAATTTCTATTACAAGTTAGGAACAACTTATGGATATGCATGAGACTTAGAGCTATTTCTATATTCATAGCTGCCCATAACCAATAAACTCTAAGCGGGGAGTTGGGTTGAACTCACCATGCTTTTTGTGGTCATTGCTCAACATGCTTTTTGTGGTCATTACTCACCATGCTTATGTTCTAGCACTAGTATGTGGTGGAGGGGGTAGGGTAGTGACTCATTCTAAAATTGTGAGCATACATGTTAAGTGTCGAAAAATAAGACGGTTTGGACCTTTGAACTATAGTTCAAAGTGGGCCCCACAAACTGTCCCAATTTCTTGAAAAGAAAAATGGAGATCCTCTCCTGAAGCAGCTCAAATGTTTCGACATCTAGATCTCCCCACTCAACTATTACTGTCGAGTTATGTAATTAATTTTGAACTCTGCAGGTGGTCGCTTTCATGTGTGGCATTTTACATTATGGATTTTCATTTTTCCAGCCACCTCACAAGTCAAATACATGGAACACTAGAAGGTGAGGCCTCCATTCTATCTTGAAGCAAATAATAAGATTCTTTGGATGGAACTAACTGCTGCTTGTTAGTCATGTTAATGTGCCTGTAAAAATACATGCATAGAGTGGCAAACATGAGGTGAAAACCAGTGTTTGCAGAGAGCCAAACCAGTGTAGAGTTCTTTAGATTGTGTTGAAGTGACCTTTACCTGTACATGCTGATTGAACTATTTTTGGTTCTAGGTTTTTGAACTTTAGTCTCTTGTCAGTATTTGTTATTAAGCTGTTCTGTAATATGTTTAGAAAAATGATAATCCCTTATATATTTATTGAAGAAGGATCCTTCTCCTTTTTGTTGCTGTTAATTAAGGGCTAAAAAGAAATTAATCCTCTCTTAAAACTAATCATGAAATTATTTTGTACATGTGACATTGCATCTTTCATACACGTTATATGCTTCTGAACTGTACGTGCTCTCAGGGATGATGATAAGTGGTGGCTTTTACCAACCATTCTTCTGCTATTCAAGTTAATGCAGGCGCTGTTTGTGGACTGGCACATAGCAAATTTAGAAATCCAAGATCATTCTCTATTTTTCCCAGATCCGGACGCGTTTTGGGCACACGAGTCTGGAACGTAAGAAAAAGGAAACGAAATATAAATGACAACGATTCTAAAGCTTTTGTGCTCTTCTGGTGTCAGGAAAGAGGCCTTTATGTTCTGCTTTGGCACCGGAGTGGCTGCTTTGCCTTTATGTTTTGCTTTGGCATCGGTGTGGCTGATGTTTTTGTAAATATGTTCCAAGTTGTATACATGCATTGGTTATAGCCTTATAGGTGCAGCTTTCCTCCATTGTACTCAGAGAGGCAAATGGATTGTAAAACTTTAGAGCACAGTAAGGAAGATAGAGATTAGTTTCAATCATTTTTCACCGGAAATTATTGTAATGCGAACATTTTCATTATTTCTAATATATAAAGGATAGATCTGTCTTTTTATCTGTGTCATGCCTTCATCCACAAAAGCTCATGCATGTACACACATACAAGTGTAATTTTCTCTTGTGCATTCAAATTACAGAGCCTTCTGCATTGCAACAAATCAATAGCTAATGTTGTAATCTGAAAATAAAATAAAATAAAATAAAATTGTTAACTACATAAAAGTACCCAACCTTTGGGGTCGTTTTAAATTAGTACCCTACAATATTAGTGTTATAAATCTTGAGAGGATAAAATATGTTGAATAGGGAACCACTTTTCGTTAATGTAGCTTTTTTTTTCTTCCTACTCATCCGTTTTGAACTTGATTGAAAATCTTCTTTCTGTTTCAATGAAAACCCTTCTCTTTATCACCGCTAATTTTGTGTAATCTCTAAGTTGCACATTCTGGAAAGCGCTTAGCTAAGTTCGCTGAGTTGCGAAACTGAAACTGAAACTGAAACTTTAGGCTGAGGCTCTAGTGGTGGTTCCAGTGTTCCTTTCAATTGGTAACTTTTTGTATATATTTTTATTTTTATTTTTTTAGGTAGTAGATGCCAACACACGTGCGATGACAACAGTGATGTCGTCAATCTTGCCTCCCACGTGCTCTCGTCCGGCCTTCTGTGCCTCCATTTGAAAGGGGCTAACGTTGTACTTGTCCAACGAGTTATACAGCGCTAGGTTGGCTATGTACGAAGCCAACTCCTCACAATCCTGACCGCTAACTTCATACGCCACAATAACCGCTTCAATCTCGCTCGCGAAAATGTTGTCCAGCAACCCATCTGTCCCAAGTACTATTATGTCCCCCGGCCTCAATTCCTCAACCTCAAACTCCTCCGCCGCCTCGGGACAGTCGCCGCCCATGCAGTTACCCAACTGATACGGACAGTTAAACTTCCGCTGCTGAGTTGATGATTTGAAGAAACACATGTTGTCCCTGAACACCATGAACCCGCTGTCCCCGACATTCACGGCGTGTAGGGTCCCACGCTCCTTGTCGAGGCTAAGGATGCAAGCCGTCGACGACCCTTGTACTCCGGCATTGTTCGCGTAGGCTTCGTTCAACACCTTTCTTGGATCCACGGCGGCGGCGGAGGATCGGGTTATGTCCGTGGCTGTTTTCTTGGCGTGGTTCATGAGTCCCCTCGCGTACTCGCCAGCGTCGACGCCTTTCCTGGCCCAGCCGCCTACGCCGCCAGCCACTCCGATGGTCTGGGCATCATGGCAGATGAAGTGGGCGTCTTCGCCCAGTGGTTTTTCCTTGTTCTCTTTGGGTAAATAGCACGACCCACAAATCAGATGAAGTTGATGATCAGTACGGCTATTCAACTTCCTCTTTTGATACGGGCCACGGCCATAGCCACAGCAGCCAAAGCAATTAGTGATCGCCCCCAAACCAAACGCAGGCGGCTTGTTGGCAGCGATCATCATCTTTGACAATACTGAGAGCAAGAGAGTGAGAGCAAGAGAGAGAGTGAAAGCAAGAGAGAGATATGAGAGTGAATGGAATGAATAGGGACCAACGCATATTTATAGATTTCGACATGTCCTTGTCGGCCAAGTTTCCCAATAGGATATGGAAAAATATTAATAGTTTTATTTTTTATTTTTTAGGTCTCTTGACATTTTAGGACAATTAAAAGCCCACGCAGATAAAACCCTTATGAATCTAAATCTTATTTCTATTTTTAAAGGATAATTTCACCAAATCTCTAGATCCAGAAATTAGGGCATACATAATTCTTTGGCATAAGTTGTTTACCAAAAGCCTCCATGATTTATTTATTTATTTGAAGTTGAGTAATGTTTTCATTAATTAGTTGTTTTTTGTTGATTTCAAATAAGGGAGTCGTATCACAAAAAAGTGCTTTCTAGAGTATATAATTTGGAAACAAGTGCTTTCTAGGTATGAGACAGTTCCTTGTGGAGGAAAACAAATTAAATTACTAATGATTTAGAAACATCAAAGTTCATGAGCTTAGCATAACCGCCTCACAAGATTGATTGTGCAATTTTGCCTTACAAATGCTTTTCAATCAGATTTCATTTTGTTTTCATTATAAGCAATATTCTAAACTAAAGTGAGATTTCTCACACACACTATCACTGAAATGTGTCCAATCACAGTGACATGAACCTAGTCACGATCACAACGGAGAATCACTTGACATTTATAAATCTTATAAAGCTTGAGCATTGGAACGTAGAGGAACTGAGAATCACTTGACATTTAAAGCATGTGTGTAGTTTGTGAGGCCAAGGTAGATAGACAATTTAAAGAGTTGTAACGTTTGTGTGTTAGGTGGCATCTCTTGAATGAAATGCCCATGTTTTTGTGTTTTTATTTAGTTTACATATAAAAAGGAGTGCAACTTTTTCCACCCCTTGTCATATTTTCCCACCCACCTTATCTTCAAAATTTTAAAGACAAATTTACCTCTTTGTAAAATGACTTCTAAGACCCCCCTCTCCCTCATCCCGACGAAACCCCGACTACCACACCACCCACCACACATCCGAACCCCACCTCCTCTCTCCTTCTTCTCTCTCTCTCTTCAACAAACCCACCCTACTATCTGTCCTATCTTCCCCACGCACCCATCCACCCTCCCCCTCCTTTTTTCTCCTTATTTCTCTCCTCCCTCCTCTCGACAGCCACCCCTATGAATGAATGAATTCTTTATTTTTCTTTCGTTTGTTATTTAGTATGGTTTTAGGTTGAATAACTCAAAGGGTTATTGGGTTTTGGATTGGCAGGGGGTTGAAGGTTAGCATGCTTTAAATGAAAGTAAGGGCATGCTGTAGGGACTTGGGACTAAAGGGTGTCTTTCGAGATTTTTTTGGAATTGTAATTGAAGAAGAAGATAGGAAGGGGTTACTGGGTTTGTTTGGGTTATTTTTTTTAATTTTTTGTTTGATTTCTGGGTTTTGGTTCAATTAATAATGAAAGGGTATTTTAGGAATAAAGGTGGGTGGAAAAATAGGATTGTGTTTTTTTCAAATTTATATGGTGGGTGAGAATATAAGATGGGTGGGAAAATAGGATAAGGGGGTGGAAATAGCAGCACTCATAAAAAGGATGTGCTTGGACTTTGTGCAGTTTTTTATTAAATTATTTGGCCACTTGTAATGTATAAAATGAGAAGAAGAAAAAAAAGCTATACACGAACATTATTGAAAGAAAATATATATTTTTAGTAAAATACTAGGCATATCATATTTATATATCACATTATGTATTTTCTCTAGGTGGTACACAATGTGGTAAGCCTAGTATTACTCATATTTTTTCATAACATAAAGGTTATTATTTTGTTGTTATTGATATTCATTACAAAAATTATATAGTTAATGACATCCTGATGCTATCTATATCTTCTATCTATTCTATATATAGGCATGAAACTTTCGTAAACCCCGAAATTGCCCTTTGCTAAACTAAAAAGTAAAACCATGCAATTTTAATTAAAATGTGGTAAAATTGTAAAACACCGCTAAATTAAGATGGGGTTTTTCAGAATTGGCAGTTCCTTTCATGTATTATATTTCAAGCTTGAACTTGTTTGTTTTATTTTCAAACACTTGTATTTTGCTTTACTTACTAGTTTTATTTAGATAAATTGTGAAGTTCTCACCAGTTTGAGGCATAGAAAAGGATTTTTTTGGGAGGTGTCCCCATCCAAAATCACAATTATTTGTTTGATTAAGTCAATTACTTGGAGCGCAAGTATATTACATCTTTCAAGTCCATTAGGGTTTTTAACTGCTAACAATGGCACGCCCCCATAAAAGAAAGTTGATCTCAAGACCATTAATGGTTAACAGATCAATGGGGGAACCTAGCCTCCAACAGGCACAAAAAATAAAAAGGGTAAACATGACTAAAATCCAATTTGTTATTTGATGAGTTTAAAGGCACTTGGGACCGGTTTGGATGAGAAAATTACGTCGGCCCACCAAACGGGACCTTAGGAACATCAAATTTGTGTGCCAAATTTACTGGTATAAATGCTCTTAAAACCCACTTAAATACAGATGTCAAATAATGGAAAAACAACAACAAAAAAACAACGACAGATACTAGGGGTTTGTAGCAGAAGCCCTAAAGTGGTTAAGAATATTTACCCCTAAATTCGAGGTCCTAAGTTTAATTCCCCTTCCCAATATCGCTTGTATAAAAAAAATATAAAAAAATATATAAAAAAAACCAGAGAAGCTTTTGCATTTTTCGGTATGAAGAAGACGAGATGAGTGTAACCTAAAAGAAAAACGGCCAGGCCACAGTCACAGAGAGCTCTCTTTAGTCAGTTGGAAGGGTAGATTTGGAATTCCAATAATCACAAGATAGAAAAGAAATAAAAAAAAGAGGGTCGCATGCAACATGAGGAGAAAATTAGAGTGTGAAAATATGGCTTCGACAGATTTATTTGCATTTCCGAATTTTAAAAGAAAACATTTGTTATCTAAGCTACTTTCCTAAAGGTAAAAATAGAACACCTAAATAGATACTTTCCGTTTCCACAAAGAATATAGATAGCCTGAAAACATGTTATATAAAAGTTGCACTTCAACTTAACTTGTATCTTCACTTCCGTTTCCACTAAGAGTGTGATGAGAGTTCCCCGAACACACAGCAGCTGATAGCTCGATCCCCAGAGTGTTTCCTTTACATTGATACTTTCGGATACACCTGAATACAACAACTCAAATGCCAATTCTGAAAAGCACAGAAATATCATGAGCTGAGTGTCCCAGTCAAAGGAACTTCTTCAGGTATATGTGGATCTGTATCTGTCTTGTTACATTAGGGTGTCTATGTATGTACAATGACCACAAAAAAAGGGAAGACTGTCTTAGAGATTCTAATTCAATAACTTCAATAGAACAAGTCAGTCACTTCACTTGTACCACAATGCTCCATGAGTTATTTCCCACATCTGAGTTGAGTTTCTTTCCATCTTAAACTTTCTCCACAAGTTGCTTTAAAAAGTTTCAATTTGAACAATAACAACCACATAATTTGAAAAATGAAGAAGAAAGAATAAAAACAATGAGAATGACGAGTTCTCATTCTCTCTGCAGAAAAACAGAGAGGACTATATTTCTCTTAATGGAAAAATGAGCATGCCAAAAAGCATCTCATAATCGTTAGCCTTAGCTGGATCCACACACGTCATATTAGATCTCAGCCACACATCTAGCTATTCTTAAGGTTACTACATATGGCTATTTTAGCTGTACATATTGAAGGCCTCACACTTGTCATTTAATAGACTAAGTGCATACACAATTAAACACAAGGCTTATTTATCCTAAACTCAGATTAGCTCAATGCTTACACACTAACACTCCCCTTTAAGCTTTGAGCTGATATAACTCCAAGTTTATCTCTGAGGTAATTGGACCTTTCCTTTTGTAAAGTTTTGGTAAAAATGTTTGCCACTTGATCTTTGGTAGGACAATAGACCAAGTCAATAGTACCTTGCTGCAACGCATCTTTGATGAAGCGGTACCTTCTGTCAATGTGTTTTGTTCGTTGATGGAACACTGGATTCTTAGTTATTGAAATTGCAGACGTATTGTCACACTGCAAAGGAGTTGCTTTTGTTTGTAGTTCCCCAAAATCCTCCAGAACAAATTTGAGCCAGATAGCCTGTGCTGTAGCTTCTAATGCACTCATATACTCTGCCTCCGCAGTTGAGAGTGCAACACAATTCTGCTTAACAGATGCCCATGAGAAAACTCCACTTCCAAATGAGAAAGCATAGCCGGATGTGCTTTTGCTATCATCAATGGAACCTCCCCAGTCACTGTCACAATATCCAATTAGGACTGCCTTCTTGCCTTTCTCATACTTTAAACCATAATCTAGTGTCCCTTTAACATATCTGAGCACTCTCTTGGCTGTCCCATAGTGCTTGTTGGTAGGACAATGCATATATCTAGCTAGTAAACTAGCTGTGTACATCACATCCGGCCTTGTAGCAGTGAGGTATAACAGACTTCCCACAATCTTTCTATATTGTTCTTCACTTGCTGCACCACTTCCATCATCTTTGCTTAATTTCTCAGTAGCAACAAGAGGGATGGAGACAGATTTGCACTCTTCCAAGCCAAATTTATCCAACAAGGAAGAAGTATACTTCCTTTGATGAATGAAAATGCTTGAATCAGTTTGTATCACTCCCATTCCTAGGAAATGATGAAGAAGTCCTAAATTTGTCATTTCATATTTCACCTTCATATCTTCTTTGAATTCTTTCAACATTTCTTCATTGCTTCCAGTATATACTATGTCATCCACATAGATAGACACAATTAGGATTTCTTTATCTCCCCTTGTCTTAGTATAGAGAGTTGCTTCGCACAAGCTTTTCTCAAATCCACACTGAATGAAATAGTTGTCAATCTCTCCATACCAAGCTCTAGGT